ATTGTCATCAGTACAAACGGACTTTGTAAAGGTTAACAAATCCAATAACTCTATCGCTATTGGTTTTCCTGATTCAGAGGCAAGGCAAAATGCTACTCAGTTGATTGATGAAGATTCTTCAAAGGGATATACTTTGCGTGAAGCAAAGAAGATGTATCCAAAGTTAACAATAGAGAACGTCCATAGGGACGATGCCTTCCGCAGACTTACAGCAGACGATGATGATAAACTAAGAGATAAGTGCAGATCGCTACTGAAACCGTCCATCTTGGCCAAAAATGACGGAGTACGCAAGCTTGTGGATGCTGGTCACAAATTGGAGGTTGTGTACATGTCACGTTTTACTGAAAATAGCAAGTATTTCACATTTGCACTTAAAGTCTCTCCTGCTATCCGATCTTGCATCATGAATGACCAAGGAAGAGCTCTTTATTTTGGAAATACCTGCCATCCTGTGTCCGATCGAGTTCATGTTGTTTCTTGTTACCATTGTCAAGGAATTGGTCACACTTCTACAAACTGTCCTACCAAGGTTGATGATCCAACTTGCTTCCGCTGCTCAGGAAACCACCTGTCTAAAGATTGCAGTAACAAGTCCAAAAGTGAAGCAAAGTGCTGTGCCAGGTGCAAAAACTCGAAGAATCCCAGTGATAAAGCACAGCACAAGTCCCATAATGCAGCATCAATGGAGTGTCCAATCATTGCCAGAGAGATGCAGAGGCTAATGATGAATACAGAATATGACTCAAAAAACATGATGTGACACCAGGACACCATCACAGTCCACCCCATATCCATGCTCTGAAAATGGCAACCTTTAATGCAAGATCCATTTGCAACAAAACGGTATCTGTACTAGAGCTACTGAGAGAAGAGAACGTGGATATATGCTTCCTGACAGAGACTTGGCTGAGAGTTGATGATAAGGCCAAAATCGCTGAGGTGAAAGACCACAAATATGATATTATTAGTGCTCCAAGACGTGGGAGAGGTGGCGGTGTTGCCTTCATCTATGACCCAAAGGTTGTCTCTCTGACAAGAAACAGTGTGAAGTTTAGTTCCTTTGAGGTTTTGGAAACTGTCTTCAGAGCAAAATCTCACTTGATCAGATTTTGTGTCCTTTATCGATCAACTCAAGTTTCTTCTCATAAGAAATATCAAGAAACCCGAAAGAAATTGTTTCTTGAACAGTTTTCTGATTACATGGATACCTTGATAACTAAATCTGGTATTCCTATATTAGCAGGGGATTTCAACTTTCATGTAGAGGATCCAGACTATTGGGCTATACAATTCATGGCACTCTGTCATTCAAAAGGCTTGAAGCAGCATGTTTCCTCACCAACACACATCTCTGGCGGCACACTGGACCTAGTGCTAACATTGGAATCACCGGCTGACAACTTAAACATCACAGAGCTTGAAATTGTGGAAGACACGGGCACAACGTCAGATCACTTCCTGGTTAAGTTTAGTGCACCCGAGATTGATGTGTCATCAAAGCAGCCAAGTAAGGAACAAAAAACAGTTCGTGAGTTTAGCAAAATTGATATTGATGCTTTCAAAGCTGACATTGTACTCCACATGCCATCTCCATCCCAGCTAACTAGTTTAGATGACGCAGTCGACAAATACGATTCTGTTATATCCTCAGTTCTTAATAAGCATGCACCAGCTAAGAACATCTATTTTATACCTGGTCGTAGTGACTGGTGGAATGAAAACTGCAATGATGCCCGTAAAAAGCGCAGAGCTGCTGAAAGACTCTGGAAGAAGCATAAAAGTATGGCTGATGCTCAAGATTATAGAGAAATCTATAGGGAAGCTTGTGTAGATACTACCTTAATCATCTCTAGAGAACGGAATCGCTATTATGAGAAACGACTTACAGATGCTAAAGGAGATCCAAAAGCTACATACAGAATTATAAATAACCTTCTGGATAAAGATCTTTCTCAGAAGTCCCCTTCTGGGCCCACGCATCAAGCAGTTGCAGAAAGTCTCAAAAACTACTTTGACGATAAAGTAAAGAAGATTTATGGGTCTATCTCAGAGGAAAGCCTGTCCAGTGCTGATAGTCAATCTGACGACAAACCTTGTGTAAAAGAGTTAGAGATGCCTAATGATACACATAGTTCTCTACCATGCTCTGCTACAGCTTTCAGATTAGTTACTCGATCAGAGGTTCTTTCCCTGATTACTAAGACGATGAATAATAAGTCGTGTGAACTCGATCCTCTTCCAACATGGCTCCTCAAGCACTGTCTCGATGAATTGCTCCCTCATATCACCCTCATAGTTAACCTATCCCTCCAAGAGGGCTATTTTCCACATGCTCTGAAGTCTGCTATAGTACGACCAGTCCTAAAGAAAGCCTCTCTAGATGCAGACGACTTGAAAAGCTATAGACCTGTGAGTAACCTCAGTTTTATTTCCAAGGTTATAGAAAAGTGTGCCCACTCACAGTTTTCCGAGTACCTAAATAAGAACAATCTTTTCGCAGCAAATCAATCAGGTTACCGGAAAAACATGAGCTGTGAAACTGCAGTGCTCAAGGTACATAATGATATACTCCTCCAAGTTGACAAGAAGAGTCATACTGTTCTTCTTCTTCTTGACTTGTCAGCTGCATTTGATACCATCAATCACAAAAGACTTTTGAGACGACTCGAATATAGCTATGGATTTAGTGGTATTATTCTTCAATGGGTTGCAAGCTACCTGTCAAATCGATCCTTTATCGTTGGTGTTAAGGGTGAATATTCCTCTCTCTGTGACCTCGAGATTGGAGTTCCTCAGGGCTCAATTCTTGGTCCTATATTTTTCATCCTTTACACTAAACAGCTACAAGATATTGCAAGTATGCATGGTCTCCAAATCCATCTATATGCTGATGATACTCAGATATACTTCTCATTTGATCCTAAGAAAGACATGGACATTGAATCTATGAAGAGCAAATTGAAAGAATGTTTCGAGCACATCAAATCATGGATGAGTGAGAACTACCTGAAACTCAACGACAATAAAAGTGAGATAATCGAGATCTCTACAAACTCCAAAGCTCCAAAACAAGTTGAATTCAATCTTGACAGCATATGCTCCATTAAACCTACCAAGTCAGCAAAGAATCTGGGATTCATTTTTGACAACCATCTCAATTTAGAGGCACAGATCAACAACGTTGTCAGAGTTTGCTATGTAAATCAGCGAAATCTTGGCAGAATAGGTTCCAAACTGAGTAAGGAGCTCAAAATCCAAATGGTACATGCTTCAATTCATTCCATTCTGGACAATGGAAATGCTACTTATGGTGCCCTTTCTGAACGACTTCTCCAGAAACTTCAAAAAGTGCAGAATACTGCTGTGAGATTCATATTCGGACTTCATGGGAAGTTGAGACAGGAGCCCATCACACCCTATATGATTGAATTACACTTCTTACCTGTAGCAATGCGAATCAAATTCAAGATAGCGTTACTGGTTTTCAAGTGCCTAAACGATTGTGCTCCTGAATATCTAAGGACAATGGTCAAAATTAGGGACACTAGTAAACATCATGTCAGAATGGACCATGACTTCTTCCTACTGGAACGCCCTCCTTTATCAAGGCTGAGGGCTACAGCTGGTGCTTTCTCTCACACTGCTCCTAAAATCTGGAATACACTTCCCTACTCACTACGCTCCATCTCTCGACTAGATGTTTTCAAGAAGGCTCTCAAGACCCATCTATTTCATCAAGCCTATCCTGTATGTGCGAACAGTATTTTTGGTGATTCAGTAGTCATGGACGCAGGACTTTAAGATCAATCTACAATTTATAAATTTGAATTTTTGATTAGAAAAGGGACTACTAAAGTACTAAGGTAAATTTATCTGCACCGCTTTGTTGGCCAGTATCAACTCCATTTTTTGGACTTTGGTCGCTTATACGGCCTAAGCGGTATACAAATAAAGCGTTATTATTATTATTATATTATCTAACTGGTAGAAAATGAACTTTCTTAAGTAGTGGAGTAGTGTGTGCCTTTCTTCCTCTCCCGAAAATAAATCTTACAGCAGAATTTTGCACCTTCTGTAAACGACTTAAATCATAAGAGCTCAGTCCAAAATATACGCTATTGCAATAATCAATTCTAGAGAGTACTAGAGCATGAACAAGCTGAATCTTAAGGTTAAAAGACAGTTTTGATGCAATAAACCACAAATTTCTGATCTGAATATTACATGCTTGAACCACTGACGTAATCTGATCACTCATTGAAAGATAACTGTCCAAATACAGCCCAAGACTCTTCACAGTTCCACTAACAACATGTGGCTCTTGATCCTTAACAATCTGTAGAGAGGCTGGAATATTTTTTGAGTCAAATTTAGAGGATATAACGATGACTTCAGTCTTAGAAGAATTCAGTTGAAGGAAATTTTTTGTCATCCATTTCTTGATATCAGACATACAGTGTTTCATATTGTGCTCTAGCTGTGATGGGTCATCAGAATCAAGAGTGAAATACAGCTGGGTGTCATAATGAGAGACATAATGAATATCTTTGATTTCATCCTTTTGTGGCAAAGAAGCGTTTTATAAATCTTTATTCCACTGGGAAGTATTAATGAATAATTTATAGATAATGTATTAGATTTTATTAATTAATGAAATTGAATTTGATAAATTATTAATGTTGATGAAAAAATATATTTATTTAAATTATTTTTTTATTTAGTGCAATGATATTATGTAGACACTTGTGATGATGTTATGGGGATCATTGTCCCTAGTTTTTCAGAATTAATCATCACCTATAGACAGCATGAGAGTAGGGCGTAGGCCCTGCCATCTCGAAGTGATAATAATAATTAAATGTTTCGCAGATTGGCAATTGATCGGTGTAGTTGGTGTTGTACACACTGCACTGATAATGATATCACGTTGAACGTGTAATGTAAATATAGTGTGGATATATGGGAATATATATTCTAAATAATTGATAAATAGTTAAGGTGTTGAGTGCACAACATGCACATATACATTGTGAGACATGGACAAACCCTTGCCAATGTTGAACGGCTTATTGCAGGCCACCAAGATTTTCCTCTTACTGAGATGGGGGTAGATAACTCTGTCAGGACTGGACAGTTGTTGAATAGGACAACTTTTAACAAGGTAAAGCTTCTCATCATAATAATTTAACTTAAAATGAATCCTGCCTCTCAAACCAATAAGTTGTCCCAAATAACAGCATGTGCTCACCACTGCTTCCTTTTGGAGTCAAAATCATTAATTGGTAAGTAAAAAAGGTATTTTGTACAGATGAGAAATTTTCACACTGCATAATAGTATACATTATTGTTGATGCAGTCCTTCAGCCAACCCTCACATTGTTTTTTTCGCAAATCATAAAATTTCAGGAAAGTCAGCATATAATTTTCTTGAAATTGTGAGGTTGTGGATCACAATACTAAAATTACATAAATTATACTTTTTAGATACACTGTAGTGACCTTGGGAGGACAAAAGACACTCTTCTTAACATCGGCCATACTAGTGCAACCTTTGATAAGCGCTTGAGAGAGCGTGATTTTGGAGTTTGGTCTGGGAAACTTTGGTCAGAATATATTGATGCCAGCAAAGATATGAAAGATGGTATTTTTCTGCATGATTTGCCTGGAGTTGAATCCAATGAAGAAATGAACATAAGGTGAACCACCAGACAGGGTCTAAAATCGTGCCCTGAAAATCATGTCAAAAAATCTATCTTTTCCTACATTTTTTGAGTAATCATCCTGAAACTTTCAGGATATATTCCAAAATTTTGAAATTAACCTTAAGAATCTTTTTATTCGATTTTGAAAATACCTTCATTTTTGTTAAGATTCAACTCTGCCTCAAGTGTATAGTGATTCATTCTTTTTCCCGAAACTGTTCAAAGGAAATAGACAATATTAGTTTGCTCTTGGTACCGTTGATTGATATACTGATACTGTTGCATAATACATGTACATAATCAATTATACTTGTTTTTCAGGCTAAAAGACTTCTTGGCTGATCTAGTGAATATGCATGAAAAGAGTCCCCATAATGAGAATGTTCTCATTGTATCTCATAAAGGAACGATAAGAGCACTTGTTTGTCTTCTACTTAAAAACTCCAGTTATGATGCTCATAATGTACAATCAACTAATTGTCCAATAGGCTACAATTGTGTGTCACATTTTGAATTAGAAATAAGTGATAAAACAATACAAAACTGTAAAGTATTGAAGCTTTTCGACTGCAGTCATTTGATCTGAGATTGACTTCTTTCCATATTTTTTGTGTTGTTATGTTTCTAGCTTAATACTATTTATACACGTTTTATCGTCACAATAAATTATTTTTAGAGCAATTATTGAACAATGTTTGTAACCTTCCTGCAACTTTTTTTCTAAATCTGTATTACAATTCGAATCCGCAAAAAGTCACAAACGATTGATTAAGCATCAGTTAATTAACCACCATCTAAGTATACCATAGCCACATCCCATTCTCTGTACTACAGTACTAAAGCAAAATTCTCACAATTTACTGCAGTATGCTAAATTATGATGAATAATTATTCCAGTGATGAAAGTTAGTTTATATGTTGTGCGTCATGGCCAAACACATGCTAATGCTAGAGGTGTTCTTCAAGGACATCAAGATTCTCCTCTCACTGCTCTAGGAGTCCAAAGTTCAGCAAACACAGGGAAAGCTCTACAAGAAATAAATTTCAGTGTGGTAAGATTAATTGCAATGAAAACCATTTTTTTCACCAGGTCTAAACCTATGTTAAATAGAATCTGCTGAATCTGTCGATGAAAGACAATTGAATAACCTTGGCCTTGGTTTAGCTGCTTTTTTAATAGAATTTTCAACGACCAGGTATTCAGCAGTGATCTGGGGAGGGCTCAAGACACTCTCTGTCAAATCGGCTACAAAACTCCAGACAAGTTTGACAAGAGGTTGCGGGAGCGTGATTATGGGTCCTGGTCAGGGAAACCCTGGAAAGAGTACAAGAATGCAACCAAGTGCAATAATGGGGAGTCTACTGAATACCACCATCTTCCTGGTGTCGAGACGGATGATAAATTACAGAAAAGGTTTTATAAAATGGAATTATTTTAACTTATTTATTGAATGAATTGTTTTTAGTTTGGTCAAAAATAAATGTTATGAAAATATACTGTTTTTAATTATATACTGAGGTCTAGCTAATAATTGTTGATCTGAACTGCGAACATGCCCCCAAAATGAAAACACATTCCTTTAAAAAAACTATACATCTCATCAGATGGAGTGAATTTCTTTATGAAATGATAAAGAATTTCAAGGACAGTACACCAGAAAACAACGCCCTCATAGTCACCCACGGAGGTATGATACGAGTGATAACAAAACACCTGCTGCAATTCTCGTCCCGACCCCTGGGACTGAACCTCGCGCACTGTGGTATTGGCAACAATAGCATATCAGTGTTCGAGTTGGAAGTCTCTGATGCTGAAATAGTTAATTGTGATGTTGTTAAAGTATTTGACTGCAAGCATTTGCAACGGTCTTGCTGATTTGGGAGGTTACACATTTTTATTTTTCCAGAATTTGTTGCTACCTAATGTTTATTTATTATCTGGAATATTTCTTTTATATTCAGAGGATTTTAATATGAACTCATATTCCGTTTGGATTCATTTTTCAAGTTTTGTACCGTTGAAGGTTATCATTCAACACTGAAATTAAAATCTTTTCCTAATTTATATATATTACATTGCATTCTTATGTTATTAAATAGGCTGATTTAAAGTTGAAATAACTAAACACAAATTTATTGTACAATATAATAGTAATTCCTGCACTGTTCTAAAGCAATGTTTTTGAGCACTTACTTTGAATCTCTATCATAGTTTTGAATTTATTCTTTATCATAGTTTTAAATTTAATCGTTTTATGAGATTCGCGATTAGTATTTAGTAGTACTAAAATTAACATGTATAATTAATATACGTTATAAATGTAATTTCAATGTTTTGTTCTTCGTTCAAGCGCAAATCAATGAATGCGGCATATTAAATAATGATATTCTGTGCCATTTTCAAAAGATTTTTGGATAAAAACTAATAAACTCACCTTTGGGTTTGTCAATTAGTGGGATTAGTTTACATTAACCTATGGCTCTATGGTTCACAAACAATATCTTTGTAGTTCTTAGAGATCAAATTTCTTTACTAAGTAGGGTAAATTGGTATAACTGGTGATGTAGTTTTAAAATTAAATAGATGATACAAGTGATGATATATATGTTATTATGTATTAAATATTACAACGGGCTGTTTAGTTATCCTTTGTTCACTTGGTATTAACTTTAATAATTTATTCTTTGAATCAGTTCTCTAAATGTTTTAAATACACTACAGAAGCGAAACTTATTATAATTTCTAAATTTATCGATTAGATAGCACGTGGTGTGGAATGGAATTTGTAGAGCCCGAACCTTTTATTATTTACAACAATTAAATTACAACAATACTTTTATTATGGATTGACTTTGTTTTATCTTATTGTTAACTGAACTAAAGCTAACAAGTAGTATGATACATAATTATCGGAGAGATTTTATCGAGGAAAGTTAAAATATCTGGTTTAAAAGTTATTTAAGTCATTTTTAGACGTTTGTGTCAATAATTACTATCTGTACTGAGCTTCAGTGTTCTTTTTGTAATGAAGATATATATGTTAGTACCTGTGTGCTATTACCTTATGAGCAGCTATTAAATGTCATAACACCAGTTCACCTCTATGTATCTTACTTAGGGATTAAATAATTGCCGCATTAATCTTTTAATGTTCATATTTATTAGGGCAGGCTCCCTCTATTAAAAATTCATGATATTGGCTATCTTTGAAGTGTGATCTACACCCATAAAAATGTGACCTAAAGAGGTGAACCCTTGTATTTATATATAATATAATAAACATTATAATTATATTTTAGTTTAAGATCATTGATTTTTGAATATTTCTATTGAAGGAATTTATCAAAGTTAGTAAAAACTATTATTTGGTGGCTTTTTGATCAAATTTTCGTAACGACGTATTAATTGAAAATAGAATACGATTACTAAAATTTTTTCAGTCTTACAATAATTTCTAATTTAAATACAATCTGTAGAATTATTAATTCTATTAGCGACCTACTTATTTGTTATTTTCGTATGCCAAACTTAAAGTTAACTGAATTGTATTTACAATTCTGCCTTGATCTGATACATGGATAGATGGATATGATCATTGATTTTGGCATAAATACTTTTAAACTAACTTTGCAAAACGTTATTGTTTTTTAACCTGTAACGCAATCCAAATTTAATACTCCTCCCAAACGTTAAAACTGCATTAATTTTGCATGATCGTGATATTGGTCGGTAATCTTGGCTCAGGAAATTAGTTTTGCAGCTCCTTCAAAATTAAATATACATAATTTGTGTCAGCATAGTTTCTGTCAGCATGATTTTGATCTCTGGGCAAATGTTTCGAGATTAGCCCATGTTCAGGGTGCCAAATTTACCAAATAGAAGCAAATCATGATCATAAATTTAAGTACAATAATTTCTTATGAATACATCCCCTTCAAGTCCTGGTAATTGTCGAAAAATCTCTTGGCCATAACTTTATCAGTAACCAATTTTAAACTAGCCGATCGAGTCACTGTATTCAGATCAAGGCAGACCTAATGTAGCAGGTAATGGCTATTAAAAAGAGGATTACAATTTCAGGCGCCCTCTTCATCTGACAACTGTACGATTATTTAGAAATCTCGTTAAATATAAACGTATTCTCTTTTATGGACCTAAATGGAACGCCGTAAAGGATAGTCACGTGCGTTACTATAGTTACTATAGTCTGTTACATAATTTCATTTTTAATAGCAATTCATAGACCTATACTTGCAGTCAAATTGTTCATTTAATTTACTAAACCTAACATAATATTGTAAACTTTGAGGGTTGTTTCACTTCTACTGCGCATATCCTCAAATAGGAAAGTTGTCTCTAAAGATTGTAAAATGTATTCAAAGTATTAATAGTATTAATACTATTGAGTATTGATTTAATACCATGTTTGAGTGCATTCGTTGGTTAAACAAATTTTAACACAATATTTCATGTTTCAGGTCATATACAATATACATGGCAAGGAATTTATTACAAAACTCATTACGAATATTGAATGCAGCTGCTGAAAGGAGGATAACATCAATACTCCAATCCTACATCCCCTATCCTACATCCTACATCCCCACTCCTCTGCTGAACCATGATTCTGAACAGCACAACTCTCTTTCAAACTACCCCTCTCTAAATGCAGATAAAGACTTTGGTATCTTGTACAGCAAGAGAAGGCAAGGAGACGTGTTTACTTCAGAGTGGCGCGAGGAAGAGGACAAGGGCTTCTGGCATAGGAGTAACAGAGACATTCTGATTGATAAGAGATTAGACTTTGAGGCTGAGTGCCCTATGTGGCTGGTAAATAAAAAGGGTCGAGAGTGGCGACCTGCCCTGCCCAGGTTTATTGAGGGTGTTGTAGTGGACCTCCAGACGAGGAAACCTAAGAAACCCAACTCTGGAAACAGGAAAGTAGCGAAGGTTCAGATAACAAAACACGGCCAACAGAGGGTCATTACTGCGCGGATACAGGGGGAGAATAACACTTTGCAGCAGCACCACAGGGTCCTGGTGCAGTATTGTAGGGCCAGGAACCTACCTACCGTCAAGTGGGTTATAGTTAGGGGCCAGCTGGATGCTCAGTACTGAACTGGGAACAGGGTAGTACGCAACTTCTGTCCTGATATTTATTTCGAGGTTGAAGTGCATTTTGGATCAATTTGATAGAAGCTTCTTTCTTTAAAGTAACTGTTACTGATGCGATGTCTTTTGTAGTGAACTCATTTGAAGTTGACACCTGAGATCGAAGAGATGATATAGCTTTTAATAATCTGAGGAGCCAACTTCAAATCGGTCCGCTACATTATATCAGCTGTTAGCTAATATTTTGCCGACCTTTTTGGAGTGAAACGCACTCGAAGTGACGTAACGAATGCTGGCGTACATTATCAGCAACTCATGAGCTGTTTTTATGCTTTTCTACTGAGCTTACTTTTATAAAGTCACTTCTTAAGATAACTGTTTCATTACTGAATCTGATAAAAGCACGCTATATAATACATAGATAATACATTATATATACAGGGTGGGCCATTAAAGTCATTAGTCAATGTGGAAACGTTTGGGCTTATAAAGTAGCCATTTTTCACGTTTGAGACTTGAGACAATGCATTACAATTTTATTTAATCCAATCATTCAAAATATCTAAAAA